CTTTTTAAAAGCACCTACCATAGCTATAACGGCATACCGAATTTTAAGTTCGTGGGCTTATGGTTCCGAAGTTATAGCTGATAAAAATTTTCACGACTATGGGATGTGCCACGCCCCTTTTACAAACCCATTTATTTAAAGCCTACTATAAGCACCTACCATAGCTATGCCTGCATACCAAATTTCAAGTTCGTGGGGCTTGTGGTTCCGAAGCTATAGCTGATAAAAAATTCCACGCCTATGGGATGTGCCACGCCCCCTTTTGTAAACTCATTTATTTATAGCCTACTATAAGCACCTACCCAACTATGCCTGCCCAGGTGTCGTGGCAACACTGTCAAAATTTCATTCGATTCTCTCCGTCCGTTTAGTCTGGAACCTGGGACAAACATACATACATAGGCGTAGCCAGAACGAAATTTTACATAATTTAAAAAGAAAAATTTCAAAACCAATAACTTACTAAAAAATTGTTTATTATAACTTAAAATTATTGTATTCAATATTTGTACAAAAACACATAATCAGAAATTCACAACAGTTGACATAAAACTATTCGTCGATTTAAATAGTTAGGGATTTCGTCGGGACTATAGCACGGTGTGACTGATAAGGTTATAGATCTATTCTCTTCTTCTTCTTCTTCTTCATATTTGGCGCTGCAACCGCCAAAGCGATTTTGGCCGTGCTCAACAAAGCGCGCCAGTCGTTTCTCTTTTGTGCCAACTAACGCCAATTGGAAATGCCAAGTAAATCCAGATTACTTCCAGAGCAGGAGCGTCGGTGTCCATTCGAACGACATAGTCAAGCCAGTGAAGCCGCTGTATTTTAATTCGCTGCACTATGTCCATGTCGTTTTGAAGCTCATACAGCTCTTCGTTCCATAGTCTGCGCCATATACCAGCACGGGCATGATTAGTGACTTATAGACTGTGGTTTTCTTACGCCGAGAACTGCCGAGAACTGCCTATTCAGTCCAAGCTAGTACTTGTTGGCAAGAGTGATTCTGCGTTGGGTTTCCATGCTGACGTTATTATTATTATTTATTAGAGTAATATAAAATATTAAACTAACTTAAAAAAACACACTAGCTACCAGGGCCTACGGTGCGATGTTACTGTTTACAACTCTTTCTTTTGTACGTATCTTTGTCTAAATTTTACATATGTTTTTTTCTTTGCAAGTGCATTTCCACATACAAATTCTGTTCTGATAATTCCGAACTTGTCATATACATCTTATAATATATATTTTATTTGATTAATGTTGGTTAAATTTTGCTGCTTAAATTAATGTCATTGATGTATTTAGCTACTTTTTTAACGTTTCTGAGTGTAATTACATTTAGTAAGGTTGACGGTACAGTGGTACTGAAATTCATTGCTCGCAGTGTCGATAGGTTTGGGCAATCGTCGAGGATGTGTTGGACAGATAGGCGATTTGAACAATACGGGCAGGCAGGTGGAGTTTCACCTTGTAGAAGGTGGCTATGTGTAATCACTGTGTGGCCCAGCCTCAGTCGTGTAAAGTAGGTAATTTCTTTCCTTGATAATTCCGCTGGGTAAAGAGCTTTCGTACAATCAGGATTATTGGTGTAGTAAAAATGCTGATAATGGGACCAGTCTGAAGTTTTTATGTTTCGAAGGTGTATATTTATTAGTTTCTGCAAATCCTTGCTCGGCGATGCATTAAACGTTAGACAGGGAGATAAGTATGCGTTCTTGGCCGCTTCGTCGGCAAATTCGTTGCCTGGAATCCCCTTATGCCCAGGAACCCAAAGGATTTGGAGTTTCTTTTGGTGTTTTATAAGCCTGTCCCTAATTTGGTTGACAATGGGATTATCGTGGTAGATATTTTTAATTGCTGAGACTACCGACATACTATCTGTACAAATAACGAAATGCCCTTTATTTTTCGATGCAAATTCTGCGGCTTGTAGTACCGCGACTGCTTCTGCTGTATAAATAGAACAGTGCAATGGGAGCCAACCGGCTGTTATGAGTGTTCCATTTTGGTGCACTACACCGAACGTTGTACTGTGGTCAGTTTTTGATCCATCTGTAAATATGGGGATCCAGTTGGACATCTGGCTACTGTTAAAGTGTTCAAAGAATAATTGTTTAAAGCATTCCTTACTGGTGTGTGCTTTGGGGTAGGAGTGTAAACACTCGGTTAAAGAAGATTGTGGCAGCGACCAAGGCGCTTGCCTACAAATTTGATTGCACATTGGAGGTATTTGAAGCTCTAGTTCTTTGCAATAGGATACGCACCGACGAATAGTAGATTTGGTGTGGTATTTACGTTTGTGGCATGCAGCGAGGCGGAATAAGTTGAATAGCGTTTTATTTGTAGTATTAAAAAACTTGGGGATCAGTCTCCAAGTAGCGAGTTCACGCCGTTCACAAATGGAGGGGAGGCCTGATTCAGCTAACATAGATTTGACTGGTGAAGTGGGGAAGGCGTTTAAGCTGCGTCGAACCGCTGTATGGTATGGCGCTTGCAGAAGTTTTATATGTGTGTCAGCGCACCACCCGTAAATTGGGAGTCCATAATCTATTTTAGATAACATTAGTGATCTCGTTATGTTTATCAATGTGTTAGTATGTATACAAAGGTTTTTTGAAGATAAATATTTTATAATATTGAGCCTGGTAGATAGATTTTTTCTTAACTGCTGGCAGTGGTCCTTGAAAGAATATTTAGAATCAAATATAACGCCCAAAATTTTTAAATTTTTTACATTTTCTATGTTAGAAAGCTCAGCTTTGATATCAATTGGGGGGGCAGCCCCGTTTTCGATAGATGTGCAAAATTTTGCACTTCTCATAAGCAAGGTTGGCTCCAGATCTTAATCCCCATTGTTTGAGTTCGAGTAGTAGCTTTAAAAATTAATTTTTTGTGCATGTTGTCTTTATTTTTTGTATAAAAAATGGCGTCGTCTGCATAAATATTTAATTTATTAGTTTTGTAGTTTAATGTTATTCTGTTAATTTGCTCAAAGGCTATTATAAATAGGACAACCGATAAAGGGGAGCCTTGAGGGATCCCGTTATTGAGTGGGAAGGGTTTTGAGAGCTGACCGTTGATATTCACATGGAATGTCCGTCCAGTTATAAACGATTTTATGACTTCAAATATCTTTTTAACAATTTTTCACACTTTGAGTTGCTCTAAAACGACATGAATGCCAATGCGATCATACGCTTTTTCGAAGTCGGCGGCTAACACCGTAATGTGGTTTTTAGTTGAGAGGGCATCGGCAATAAAGTGTTGTAGGTCGAGGAGTGCGTCGATGGTTCCATGTTTCTTTTTAAATGCTGACTGGTTGTGACTTATTAAATTATTTTTCGTGACAAACCACATTAGTCTTTTCGTGACCATTTTTTCCAGTATTTTGCTGAGACAGGAGATTAGTGAGATTGGGCGATACCCACTTGTGCTGTCTTGAGGTTTATTTGGTTTAGGAATTGGTAGTATGGTGGCCGATAGCCATGTGTGGGGGTAATGCCCCTCGCTGAGGATTTTGTTATAAAGGAATAAAAGGATACGTTTTGCAGGAAGAGGTAGATTGTGGAGCATGGCGTAGGATATACGGTCTTTTCCCGGAGTTTTCCCTTTAGCATGTTGCAGAGCCAAATCTAATTCTATTTGAGAAAATTCTGTTTCTAGGAAAAGAGCGTCTTTTGTGACTGTGGTGGGGTTATAAACTTCGGTCAAGATTGTCTGCTTTAGTGTATTATATTCTTCGGAAAAGTTAGTGTCTCCGGCGTAAGTACACCAGGTAGAAGCAAAGGCATCTGCAATTTCTATGGAGGAAGTGAGAAGGGAGTTATTATGGCGTATAGCAATAATAGGTGGGGTTGGAATGCCAGTAAGCGTCTTGATTCTTGCCCAAATTTTTTTGGCGATGAGTTGGGGTTAATAGTTTCGGTAAATTCAGATATGGATTTCCGTTTTGCCTCTTTAACGCGTTTTTTAAACAGGGCGTTTGCCTTTTTATAAGCGATGAGGTTGCCAATGTAACAAGAGTTTTTATAAACCTGCCAAAGTTTTTGTTTGTTTGTACGTAATAGACTAAGACTAAGCTCGTTGCTCCACCTTGGTGAGCGTGATTTGTGTCCCTTTGGGTTGCTTTGAGGAATCGTTTTGTTAGCTGCTTTTATAATTATCTTGGTAATTTTGGCTGCTTGTTGGTGAATATTTACATAGTGCCAATCTTGTATTGCCTCTAAACAGTGTGTTTGGAATTGATCCCATTTTGCAAAGTCTGTCAAGAATTTTGGAGAGCTCTTCGGATTATGTACGTTAAAATTATTTTGGATTTCTGTCAGGATTGTGTAGTGGTCGCTTCCGAACATTTCGGACTTAGTTGAGCTGTAGCCATTGTAATATCGACATGGGTGAAAGTTCTGTGTGTAGAAAAGTGCGTGGCGGAGACGTTGTTTAGCACAATCAGATTTTCCGCGAATATGGCATTTTCTAGTTGTGTACCTCTAGCATTGGAAGAGGCTGAACCCCAAAGGGGCTCGAATCATTTAGTGTAGTGTTTGCAGCTGGGTTTGTAGGAGGAGATTTCTTATGGCTATGTCAGAGAATGATTGACTTGGTGGTATGTATGCATTTATTATTGAAAAGGGTGTAAGAAGATGCAGCTCAATGGCTATTGTTAGGATATTTGTATGTATATCTATGCGTTTGTGCGGAATATTGCGTTTTATAAGTATTGCGACCCCCTGCTTCGCATATCTGTTATTACTGTCATTGTGGATTATCGTGTTAGTTACCTGTAAAGGAATGTGGGTCTCTTGGAGGCAAATAATATGGGGATTCAGATCTTTGATCAATTGCTCTAACTCGTTGTAATTGTTTCTATAACCTTTCAAATTCCACTGTATGCTTTTAAGTGACATTTCAATTGTAAATATAATATTAATAACACATTATAAAGCAGTGATTATATAAATTACAAAATAAATGTTAATTGGGATGTTTAAAGCATGTTAGAAGTTGATGTTGTTTACTTGAAAATGTGTTGTTGGTGTTCGTCTCAGTATGCTGGGGCTCCCTCTGCTTGTTGCTCTATTCGTGGTATTTGTTATATTTGTTGTAGACGTAGACGTGTCGATATACATGTGATGATCGGCTTCTTTTGGCGCAGTTTCTGTTTTCGCTGTTTTCTTGCTATCGTGGTCGTTGTGTTGATCCAATGTAACAAGAGTATGTTGTTTTGTTGTATTAGTAGTTGTTGTCGTCAGATTAGTTTTATTTGTTGGCTGAGTGTTGAGTTCTATTAAAAAATTTCGTATGCTCTCTTTACTAGTTGTTGCTTTTACGGTATCTAGCGTAGTTTTGGGAGTTTCTGCTGTAGAGTTGTTGGAATTTGGAAGTTTTGTGTTACTTTTATTTTCTTGTGCTGTGGTATTGTCTTGTATTTTAGTTTTTTGGGCGAATGAAAAGGAATTAGTGACAGTCGTTGGATTTTGTATTTTGTGTAGTTTTAGGGCATCGCGCATAGAGCATTTCTTTTCAGTTTTTATTTTTAGAATGTCTTTAGCCTGTTGATATTTGGGGCATGAGTTGGACGAGGCTGCATGCTCACCAAAACAGTTTGCACATGACGTTCTGATGCAGTTTTCTGGTTGGTGTGGAGGTAGGTTGCACGTCGCGCAGGCGGGTGCGTTTTTGCATATTTTCATTGTATGGCCAAGCTTCTGACACGATTTGCATCGCATCGGATTTGGGAAATATGGTCGCACAGTGCACATTTCCCAGGCTATGTCAATTTTTTCGGGCAAAAAATAAGTGTCGAATGATAGTAATACAACTCCTGTTGGCTTGACGACTCCTTCAGTTATGCGCGTGAATTTGTGGACGGCAGTGACGTTGTATTGCTTGAGTTCTTCAATAATCTCGTCCTCTAGAACTTGAATTAGGAATGGCGCGTATACCGTTCCTTTAACACAATTTAAATTGGGGTGGAGTTCACATGTAACCTGACATAGGCCGGGAAGAGATTGGGTGCCAATAAACTTTTTTTCCACTTCTTTATTTTTGACCAACAGCAATAAGCCGCCATCTCGTAGAGGAGTAATTTTGTTGATTTCTTTGCTTATAGCGAGAAGTGATTTATGCACCGCAAAAATAGAGTAGTTACTTAGTGGTTTGCTTACATCTTTAGATTTTATCACAAGAAACTTGGGGCAATCTTTTTTTGTTACGGGCAATTCTGGGAATTCTTCCGTAATGTTTGATGGTTTTTTGGTTTTGGTTTTGGGGCCCGGGGGCCATCTCACATGAATGGTTTAGTCAAGCACGTGTGTTTGCGACGCACTAGGTGTATAGAAGTAGCAGAAAAAAAAAAAACAAAAACACAATGCACTGGTGCGCGATGAGTGTGAGAAAGTGAATAGATGATAGAAAAATTGATAAGCTGTTAAACAAGCGTGACCGATCGCATTGACTGCTAGTCGGTGACTGATGCTGACGTTATTATCGGTTCAGAAGTAAACGAAATTCTCTACTTTCTCGAAATTATAACTGTCAACAGTGACGTGGGTGCCAAGGCGCGAATGTGCTGATTGTTTGTATGAGACAGGAGATACTTCGTCTTGTCCTCGTTTACCACCAGACCCATTCGCTTTGCTTCCTTGTCCAACTTGGAAAAAAAAAATTGTCGATTTAACCGGCATAAGCCAGCGATTGTTCAGTTCTGCAGCTCTCACAATCTTCAGATTAAAGAACTCAATTGAAAGGGAGTCGACCTGTGTGAAACCCTGTTTGAAGGCGAACGACTCGGAGAGGTCTTTCCCAATTCTGATGGAGGGTGGTATTGCTCAACGTCATTTTACACAGCCGTAGGAGTTTTGAGGGGATGCCAAATTCAGACATAGCGGCGTATAGGCAACTCCTTTTATTGCGGTCGAAAGCGGTGTGGTGAGTGTCAATCCTTTTCTCGCGGGTCTTTACCAAGATTTGGTGTATTGTGGATACCTGGTCTATGGTGGATTTTCCAGGTCTAAAGTCACACTGATAAGGCTCAATCAGTTCGTTGAAGGTAGGATTCAGTGTTCCTGTCGAAAGAGGTGTGGTGAGTGTCAATCCAAGATTTGGCGTATTGTGGATACCTGGTCTATGGTGGATTCGCCAGGCCTAAAGTGATACTGATAAGGCTCAATCAGTTCATTGAGGGTAGGACTCAGTCTTTCACACAATACACTCGATAAGACCTTGTAACCTATGCCTAGAAGGCTGATCCCGAGGTAGTTAGTACACATGGCGGGGTCGCCTTTCTTGTGGATTGGGCAGAGCGCAATTCCAGTCGTCGGGCATGCACCTTATTAGCTCCTTGCCATCGTAATTGAATAGCTCGGCTGACAGGTCGTCAGCTCCAGCAGCTTTGTTACTTTTCATCAGCATAATCGCTATTCGTACCTCTTCATAGTCAGGCGCTGGGATACCGACCTCGTCATCGACTGGGGACTCAGCTTCGTCTAGGCGGCACGTTTTTACAACGGTTTATCAACTTCCAATGTTGTTTGTCCAGACCACCATTTATACTATAAATATAGCAAAGTCTAGATATCAACCTAGTCTCGATATCAACCTCGTATCGTATCAAAGACATACAACTAGAAGACCCTAGATGTCGCCCCGCCAGAAGAAGTTAAATATTGCGCCTAAAAATATGCACTACATACGCTAGAGCGGAAATGGACGACACTCCATTTCTTTAAATGAAATTAATTCCTGCTATATGCATATGTTACATATGTATGTATGTATACATTCAACGTGAGCACAAAACATTTTGCTTGCATAGTCTTCTGTTCTCTTTTGACTGCAAGCTGAATTATTTTAATATCTATTGCAAAATTTTATACAGAAAAGACTAATCTAATATTAAATCTAATATATATATAAATATCTGAATATCGATCTCAAATTTGTACTTTCTCTGTAGAAATTTTAGGTCTATGTTATGTAGTTTGACTATTGTCACTTAAATCTAATGCTTTGTATTGCATGCGCTCCACGTTTTTCGTTTTCAATCTCATAAATGGTTTACAATGATTTTTGCTAAAATTTCAAAAGCAAGTTATCAAACCAAATGCTATGGGAATGAGAAAAATTATTTTTTAATTTTTGTCCATTTTTAAAAGCGAGGTATATTAAACTTATTTTTATTTTTTTTTATTTTTCTGCAGCTTCTTGACACTCCTCATCGTACTAGTAATGAGCGGGAAATGTGGTTGCACTGCTCGCGTATGTCGGTTTGTTGAAGGGTGCTCTCTCACAGGAGGTGTGAGAGTCGAGTGGCGAATCCATTGGCCGTCTGTTTTGATTGCAGCTTTTCGTCGTTGAGCTCGCCTTACATTGTTGGGCGCACATTTTTTGCTGCACCGAGGTGGGGTTGTATATTGGCTGCATCAATATAGTGGTGCGAGTCGAGGATTCATGGATATAAATATCCGGACGTTGCGCTTTGAAGCACACGAATCACTTCTGGCCACTCCCAGGTGAATGGCAGTCTAAAGCTTTGCAGTACTGGGAAATGTGCAAAACAGATTGGTCAAAGGCGAATCTTTCAACTAAACCCTGATGTATTGGTTAAATTCATAACTCTACATACCTGTATAGTAAACCAAATAGCCGGACCAGACGTTATTCAAAATAAAAAATAAATAAACTTTTCCACATACTCTGAATATTGCTCCGTAATTTTGTAAATATATGTAATCTGCGGCCACAGGGCCACCTATCGTGTAAGTTTTTAGTCCAAATATCTCTTTTCAATTGGCTAAATTGTGTTCTAAATATGAGCCAAATCGGAAAGTAAATGAAATTTTTAGGAATATCCTGACCCCAGCGCCACCTAGCGAGCAAATATTTGGTAGAAATATTTATTTATTTTTATTATTATACTGATATATCGCACACCGTCTTCAAAAGAGTCACAACTCAAAATAATANTCAAGGTACTGATATATCGCACACCGTCTTCAAAAGAGTCACAACTCAAAATAATANATTGTGTTCTAAATATGAGCCAAATCGGAAAGTAAATGAAATTTTTAGGAATATCCTGACCCCAGCGCCACCTAGCGAGCAAATATTTGGTAGAAATATTTATTTTCAAGGTACTGATATATCGCACACCGTCTTCAAAAGAGTCACAACTCAAAATAATACGTTTGTAAGAAAATGCGAAAAACTATTTTTTAGCACATGATAATCATATGAGCAAGGGCGACTTTACTTTAGTTTTTTTTTATCAAATTATAACAAAAACTTGATCCAGCTTTTGCTGAAAGGTAAATAAAAGCTCAGAGAACATTTTTAGCGCATAATCTCAAAAATTGCAAATTTTGAGTTGTGACTCTTTTGAAGACGGTGTGCGATATGTTGCAAATATGAACCAAATCGGTCCAGCCGTTTAGTAGTTTAGTGATATACAGTATACAGAAAACCATGATAAAAACATTACAAGGTAAATTCATTCTCTCAATTCGTCGGCCATGATTTTGTTCTGACGTTTGCCAACATTTTAAAATCATATAAAATTGAAAATAAAAAAATTAAATTGTTCACAATTGTTGTTGTTTGAGATTGAAAATGAGAATGTGTGTGTGAGTTTGAGTTTTGATTTTAAAATTATATTGTTGGCAAACGTCAGACTGCCTCTCAATGGTTTTACCTTGTTATGTTTTTATCATGCAGAAAACTCTATGGAATTGTGAAATTGTGACAACAACAAAAAGTTTTGCATTTTTTTTATCGTAAAACCATCCACACAGAAGGTCCAAAACAGTACTTTTTACAAAATTGAAATCGGTTCAGCCGTTTGGTCAGGCATCGTCGTCATACAGAAAACATTTAATTTTTATATATATAGATATTTTAGTAAATCTGTCTAACTTACCTGGATCGTTTGGTTTCTGTGAAAAACATTGCCTCAGGCAGACAATTAGTATGAAAACTGCTTCAGATATTAATATTGTTACCTCTAAAGCTGAGGGAATAGAAACAGCTTTGTTGAGAAGTTTTTGTAATATTTCAAATAGGAGTTCCTGTTTTATAGAATACGGCAAAGTACTTTCGAAAACCTGAATGAACAAAATCTCGGTGACCTATATATGTAACATTTATAATTATCTATATGTCAAAGAGGATATTTGCATTTAATTACCTGGGCCCAGGCATCCACTAATTTTATTGTTCCTCTGTTTTTATTCCTCATTTCATTTATTTTAAGTGCATACATTAATATGGATTCAATTTCTTGCAATATAAGTTTTCTTTGTCCACTTACTACAGTGCCTTGCACGTTGCATAACTCATCATGCAATATTTTGTGTAGTTTTGGTAAGTTAATTAATAAAAGCCCTTCATCGGTGCTTGATTCACATTCATCGAATATTTGCTTGGATAAAGATATATCGAAAAAATCCCATTTAGGATTATTTACATCACTTGACTCAAACATCAACCAGTCCAAAATGTTACTAAGCAGAAAGTTTGGTATATTTTCCGCTTTTGATTTGATGAAATGCTCCATTAAAAGTGGTGATGAATGGGAAAAAAACAACGTTGAATTAATGGACCTCTGGTCTTCAGTCTTATTAGTAGCAGTTCCCACTAATATTTCGCAGATTTGTTGGACTCTACTTATTTGACAGTAGGAGCTTGCTAGTTTTAACTCAATTGCGGTGCATTCCAATAAGTAACTTGTCTGGTAAAGAATATTTGAATAGTGCATATTTTTAAAGGGAAGTTCTTTTAAGTGTCGACAAACGAAATCATTCGAAGAACGTAAATACCGCAGCATTCCTTCTGACGTACGAGTATTTGAGCAGAACAAATATAAAAGAAAATAGGAGCTTTTGATGATTTGCTCAAGATCTGCATCATAAGCGTTAGAAATTTTCATTGTCTATTAAAATAAAACATTAATATATATATTTAACACTTATTTTAATTTATTCATGCAGTAGATAAAATTTCATACCTCTAAATGAAAGTCTAACAAAGCTGTGAGCGCTCGTAGACAGTGATTAGTTGCATCGGTAATATTGAGTTTTTGTTTTTCCCCAGCGTCGTTTGCATATTCAAATCCCAGAAGGTATAGCCCGATATTTGGATATGGTTGTAATATGCAATTTCTGAGCAAATCGATGATTACAGTTTTGATTTTAATGTGAATTTTATAGGAAGAGTGGAAGTTATTTGACGTCCACCGCGTAGTATTTGTTATTGAATTTGTTTCCATATCTAAGCAATCAACAAAACCTTGACGAATTTCATCATATATATGTCCGTTGGAAATAAAAACGTCCAATATTTGGCTTGATATATTCGGCATTCTCGACACCATATTGAGTATATTGACAGCAGCAAGCGAGTGTTTAGGTAGCCAGCTACAGTACATTACAAATTTCGTTATGTTTAAGAGATGATCCGGCCGTTGGCTTCTAGGATTAACATCTAAAAGCATTTTGTTTAGGCCAAAAAGTATACCTGGGCTATTTGCGGTAATATGTAAATTTAAAAATTCCGTCTGTTTGATTAAGCCTTCTTCTATTATTGTAAGACTAAGAAGAGAACATTCTTCAAGCACTTCTCTCTCATTAAAGCGTTCATATTCATCAAGATGCTGACATGCGTCGTCGATTATTAAAAGAATAAGATTCAATAAATGAGACTTCTTTTGCAATTGCAGCATTATATAATATCCCAAAGGCGGACTTTCATCTTCCTGTTCTACAAAATCATTAACTTTTGGCTCATATTTTTGAATTATATAATTTACTATCTTCAAGCATTTCCATCCTATTTCCCATTTTTCTGTAGAATTTTTATATTGTCTGTTTAAAGTAAATTGAGAAAGATATATTTTATATGTTAATCAAAGTATACAAAGTAATAAATGAATTAATAATTAATACATAAATGTTTACTAGGACAATCGACCAGCAATTAGTGATGAGCGATACAAATTTGTACAAAGCTCGAAGCTTCCCACCCGACCAGGAAACGTTAGACTGCATCACTCCCCATACAAAAAAAAATCGGTACTCTTTTTCCGTTGGAATTATAAAATCTATTATATTTTAAGACGCCCACCAAAATATTTTGGAAAAAATTAAAAATTTTAGCCAGCTGGATCGATATGAAAATACCTCCAAAAGTAGAGTTTTTTATGAATAAAAATAGTTTCTTAATGATGTTTTCTGAAAAAAAACCCTTAAATGACACAACGGTTGAAGCTTAAAAAATTTACATAAAAATATTTAAAAAATAATATAAAAAAAAAATTGAACGGAATCGTAATAATGAGATTTTTGATGCTATCTTTTAACTTTTTTCACAGATTGGCTTAAGAAAAACTTGAATAACTGAACCTATCATTGGAAAGGTATTTTCTCACCCTTTTTATTTCTTTGCTAATAAGCTCATTCAAAGGATGAAAGAAAAAGGTCATCATTCAAAGTTGAATTAAGATTTGTTGGTACTTAAAAAAAATGGGACACGAATGACTTTTTTGCACATAAATAAAAATAGTGGGAAAATACCTTTCTACCGAGAGAAAATCATTGAAATAGGTTCACTTTAACATATAGCACTCAAAACACATATCTGAGTAAATTTTATGGGAGCTATATGTTAAGGTGAACCTATTTCGATAATTTTAAGGAATAGTTAAGGTAATATAAAAAACAGTCATGTGCAAAATTTCAGGAAAATGACTTCAAAACTGGGGAAGTTATTTAAAAAATTGTTAAATTTTAATAAAATTTTCAAGCACCGTTGTCTCGAAAACCGGAGGCAATCTGGTAAAACGAGGGATGCCATTGAATTTATAACGACCCAATTAAGTGTGTTCAACATTCTAAATCTTTGCTCAAATTCACAACTTGCACAGCGCTATTTGAACCAAACTTTTTTGTTTTCTATTTCAGCGATCTAAATATTTATTCATCGTCTAACTTTTGAAGCACTTAGTTATTTATAAAATAGTTCAAATTTAAGCAAAGTTTTAAGTGCCGCTATCTCGAAAAGTGGAGCAAATCTGGCAAAACTGGGGACGAAATTGAATACAGAAGGTTCCAATAGAGTAAGAGCAACTATCAGAACCTTTGTCGAAAAAAGTTGATTTGATACCTCGCTCGAAATATTCTCGCTACAAGAGCTATCATCGTTAAAAGTATTAAATCAGGCTTTTACACACTTCTAGTGAAATTTTGTTTGAAAAATTTTACAGGTATATGTAAAGTTATACGGACTAGTAGTTACAAAGTGATTTAGATCGGTTTGACATATTTTTCAAATATGCCTGGAATTAGTATGTTTTTGAAATAAGAATTACGCTCAAGATCGAAGAATATTTTATCTTTAAAAGTCGGTATATTCTGAGACCACACCTCTTGCTAAGGTATCAAATCATTCGTAGTACATACTTAAAAGGTTTTTAAAATGAAATGCTTCAAAAACTATACGCGATAAACGGAAAATTATGAAAATTATGAAAAGTAGTTGTTACACACTTTGAGTTACTTGGCATTTAGTTATTTTTTAAAGCACACCTTAGTTACCAACCACATATGAAGTGTACGCATAAGTACTAATAGCAAATCAAATTTCAAACCAGTACAGGGTGTGCTTAAAAAGTTATGACATAATTGATTTTTCACCTCTTAAAAATTACATAAAAAATTAACTTGATTTTAATATTATTTTTTAATTAAAACACCTATAACTCAAAAGTCATGCAACAAATTGATTAAATTTTTTTGATGCCTCAAGTATACGTCTATGAGTTATATCCAAAACAACCAGCTTAATATAGTTTACAACGATGAAAATAAAGCTAAATAACTCAAGGGTTACCTGTTTTTTAGATTTGCCCATATAGGCTTTAACATAAAAAAAAAAATAATGAAAAACAGGTTGATAGAAAATGTGCAAAGTCCACATTAAAAGAACAAAACCATAAAGAGAAAATGTAGTAAGTCCCAAAATAGCCTATAAAAAAACAACAGCTTTATTTTGAAATTGGCCGATTATTGGTACTAAACAGGACGAACTAAGGAAGAAAACTGCATTTACAGATTAGGAAAATATTGATATAATAATATTAAAATATTATTCTCTCCTGAAAAATTAAAAAAACATGGACTTAGCACGTTTCCACACTAAGCCAACGATATAGGCTTTCTCTCATCAACAAATGTAGTAGTGTAGTCATAGTTACCAAATGTTTGTTTAAGCAAGCGCTATTTGTTTTGAGAGCGGAAAATATTCATGTTTGTGAGCCACCCCAAAGCACGGTTGCCAGTTTGGTACAATGTTACCAAAATTGGTAACTTTTATTCTCTTTGGTAATTTGGTAACTTCCGATCTCATTTGGTAACTTTCAGACAAAATGCTTAAATACATTCAAATATTTTTGAATATCATACAATATCTGCGGCAGAGTTACATACACACTAGGGCGGGTCGAAAATCTAATTTTTATCAAATCCCTTGGTGATGAAGTCAACAAGCCTGCAAAATATTAGTCTTTTATTTTATTTGTGATACAGTGTTTAACAGTGACACACAGCATACTAGTCGAATAAGACAAATTCTTGTTAAAAATTCTAGGTTCGGCAAAAAGGTTTGGTGCATATTATTAGATAATGAATCCGTTAGCGCTAAAGATAAAGTAAAATATCATTTCTCGCAGCTCTTTAGCTTATCGTTAATCTCAAACTTATACGTTTTTCAACCAATTGTAATTGCTTTGTTGATAATTGCACTGGTCTTTGGTCAAAAGATGCAAAGAACAGCATTCATATTTCTGGGGTGTATTTAGGTCGCTGGTTTCAAATATTCTAATCTTTTTTTAATATTAGCTATATAGTTTGCCAATTTTTGCAAATTTAGGAACAATTTCGGTAGCTCTAATAGAAAAGCTATTATTTTCCATCCTCGTGGAAAAATTTTGTTTATGTAAATGAGTATGAAAACAATGAGCAGGTACAACTTCTAGAAACACTAACTAGTTTACATTTATGCATATAATACAATTGCAAATATAGGAAGTTAACAAAAATTTTGGTTCAACATTTCTTTAATTAATTAAATAATTTTTTTATAATGTAAACGATTTTCATAATATTAGTATCATAAATCAGTAACAGTAAATAAATCAGTAACGACTCCTAATCTTGGACAATACATGTTTGACTTCGTTCGGCAGGATTTTGAAAACTGACAAAATCGGCGTGACTAAATCTATGGTCCTTTCAATATTATATAAACATCCGAAAACATGAAAACGTTTGAAATAAATCTCGTTTCTTATTTATATTTTTCATTTGGTTGCTGAAGTAGTGAAGAATTGAAAATTCATAAGGGAAAAATCGTTTTTGTAAGTTTTATCTTAATATCTTAAAAACTTGTAGTCTTATTAAAAAATGATATATGAACGTGAGATATTAAATTTTATAACCTTTAATTTGATATATCGCCCTATTTATAACAATTAACGCATTCCATAGATATTGCGAGCCAAAGTTCCCTTTTCGAAATTCCTACACTTTGAATCAATTGCGCGGGCTAAAGATAAATTTTAAATTAATATTTCGTTGCCAGTAACAATTGGGTTAAATTTAAGACAACATAATATTACTATTACAAATGGCTTTTATTTACCCCCACATAAATTCTACCCAGCCTAATACACACAGCTAATTTCTTATTGAATGAATTTGTTTTTGTTGATAGATTTATGACTATACACATCTGCCATGAGCAGCTAGGATCATAGTGTAGCCTGCGGTCTTTCAAATTTAGAAGCCTCTACAACGCCTCGTATTCATGTTCATGTTCATCTTCATCTTCATGTTCATCTTCATCTTCATGTTCATCTTCATCTTCATCATTATCTTTATCCTTGTCTTTTTATTTATCTTTAACTTTGTCCTGTACTTCATCTTTATCATTCATCCTTCAATACGGTGGCTGTGGTTTTGTCGTTGTCCTTATTTTTGTTTCTGCCCTTGTATCTTGCTCTCTGTATTTTCATTACCCACCAACAGTGGCGTTAAAAGTTCAATGCAGCCGCTCCCTGTATATTCACAAGCGCGCATACGCATACGTAAAAATTAATTTTTATTTTCTGAGCAAAAAATAAAACTCAAGAAATAACGATTATTTTCCGATCAAAAAATAAAACTTAAAACGTAACCGAGCAAAAAACGTAACCATTACTTTCCGAGCAAAAAATAAAACTTTATTATTAATATTTTTATTGAGCTTTGTACCACGATTGTTTATTAGGAAAAATTGAGAAAGCAACAAAGTCTAAGCGGTAGAAGTTATAGCACTATTTCGGAGATCACCACATCTCCTCATCAGACTTCTTTTTCTAGACTTCAGCAGGGATCGAACCTGCGAATTCGATGTTCAAAGTCAGAAGCGTTAACCACTGAGCTATGTACATCCCGTAAACTCTTGTTGCTAATTCATTTTCCTTATTCAACCAACTACTATCAAGTGCAGCTNTGCTTTCTAAATTTTTCATAATAAACAATCGTGGTACAAAGCTCAATAAAAATATTAAAAATAAAAATGTTAATAAGCCACAATAACAATGACAAAACTTTATTATTTTCCGAGCAAAAAATAAAACTTAAAACCTAACGATTATTTTCCGAGCAAAAAATAAAACTCAAAACATAACGATTATTTTCTGAGTAAAAAATAAAGCTCAAAAAATAACCGTTATGTTTTGAGCAAAAAATCAGTTAATAACGATTAAGAAGTGATTTTTATAATAAAAGTTATAACCGTTAGGGTCCCTGGTTAAAATTGCTTTAAA